GGGGGGGGGGGGGGGGGGGGGGGGGGGGGGGGGGGAGCGGAGCGTCCTACATGGCGGCGACCGAGGGGGGAGGAGAGAAAACGAGGGAAAAATTGCCAAAACCGCCCTCCCCCTCCCTCAGAGAAGCCATCCTTAATCCGCCTACGAATATATGACAGTAATGATAAGAGAACACAAAATCAACCTTGCTCTCGTCCTTCAGCATTCTCATGTACTTCTCCACTTTCTCACACATCTTGGCGTCCGCCATCTCGGCCTGCAATACAGTGAAAACCAATATGCATCAACACTTATATATACACACGTACGTTCAGCAAATTTTGGGAAAAACACACAGGGGTAATGTCCCAGTGACCATTTGCCTTTGGTGTGTGCTGTACGGTTTTGTTGAACTTGTACATTTGTAAAGTAACATGCCGGTGCGGTCATGCATTTTTGCATCAAACTTTGAAGTATCGTCTCTCATAAAGGGGGAATGGGAAAGTAATTAGACTGCTTTGCGCATAAATTCGTAAGGGGGAAAATCACCGCCTCAAGTAACTGCCACAGAACTGGGCCATTTTACCAGGAATTTGCAAAAATCGGGCCATTTTATTACGAATTTGAACTTGCAAAACCTGCTTTCCTTCCTTTATATTGGCTCGTTCACTTTTTAACTTCCCTTCTTTCTTTCCTTTCCTCACTTTGTTTGCTCCTTCACTCATACCTATTTCTTCCTGTCATCCGTCTTGCAAATTAGACACATGACTGTTCAAAACATGGCTGGGAGGAGGCTGTACTGATGATTCCCACTTCTACTCGCATGCACTGTTCGGTCTGTGTGTTTACAGCTAAGGGATGAAACACAGGCTGCGCCATAAAATACCTTCATACAGGCACGACATTCAAGTGAAATCCTTCTATTCTTCTATTTTTTGAGGCGTTCGGTCAGTAGTGGTGGTTTAAGACAAGATCGTAAAATTTTTGTGAAAAGGCCACAAGTGGGGCATCACGTTGCAAACAAGCGAACTACGCCATGCATACACAGAGAGATGTGAACTAAACGGGAGAATCAAGGGAATGAATGGATCGATTGGATCGTAGTGAGACGACGAAAAGAGGAAATGAAATAGATTGTGAAGCGCATATGTGTATTATAAA